TGGCTGCTTTATAGCGAACTGCAATGCATCATGGGAAGATGGCTGATGGCTCAAATATAGCCACTGCACTTCGGTAGACATCTTATTCTTTAATTCTCTAATGAGGATATCATTAAACGACAGCCACTGCTATTACTATTAACACACACTTCCACACATGTGCAAGTGAGGACATTCCATTTGGAAGATCACATTGTATTTAAAACGAGGTCAGGTAGAAAACACTTGAGGTAGGATTGCTTTCTTTATTTGGAAATGTTTCAATTGAATTACAAAATCTTTTTCTCCATGCATCTGAGTAGGAACAGACAACAGATTTAAAAAAAAAAAAAAAAAAAGTTTGTTTTTGATACCAGGATACAACAATCCATGAACTAAACATTGAAACTAGTACTGAACCTAAGTGTAGTTTTAAAATACGTATGAGGCCTCTGGTTACCTAGAAGAGATTTTAAAACATTTTAACATTTCTATGAGATGGCATATAAAGGTGGTATTGCTATGTATTTGAGAAGCAAACAGGGAAAAGTCACTTACAAAAATAATGAAGTCTTACAGGACCAGAAAGGGCACAGGAGCTCTGGCCTGCCCCCACCTAAAGCCCTTCCTGAAGCCAGTGTGGCACAACACACTCCAAGCCCAAGATATTTCCCTGCATCCCTCAGGGCAGCCCACACCACCACTGCCACAAGCAGCCTCATCAGTTTACCTAAACAGGTAAATATTGGAAAAAATGGAATTTTCCTAGGTGATGTTCTCCAGGTGAGATGTTCATAAGCATTATTTGTTCCAAAAGTCAAGTTAGCTTAAAACAAACTAACCCTTATCAGGGTTTATTATTTTTAGGGTTTTTCAAGACTCCAGTATACTATATCCTGTGAGTCCCTTAAAGGAAATAATCCAGTGTGGCTTTCTCCAGGTGAATGTAAACATGAAAGATTTTTTTATTGTTCTCTTTTTTTGTAGGCTGTTTCACAAAAGTAAAGTTCTCCGGAAAATACCTTGGCACATGATAGACTAGAGGAGGGACCATACTCACTTAGACCTGAGATACAGCTTCCATGCCTATTTCCTACCACACGCACCCTGGAGCCAGGGGTTATCTTTCAGCTGGGAACCACCTCTTCCTGTCATGTGCAGCCTCAGTGAGGAGGTCATTACAGAGACTTCTCCTGGCATGGAAGCTGAACCCCAACTCTTCCTCTCCCACCCATGTCCACTAGTACACACAGAGAGCAAGGAGATTTGAGGTCAGACATAAAATCATCTCTGCCAGGATTCTTGAGGGTCATTAAGCTGACCGGTCAGGTTGAGGGCTGGTCACGTGGGACCAGCCGAAAAATCCTTTTCCCAGGGAGCTGTCATGGCTCCTACCTATGCCTAACCATGAAACTCCAGCACTCAATGTGCTAAACTCCTCAAATCCATACAATCAATTAACTTGTTAAGCATGAAACCAATATTACTTTTTTAAAAAATCATAGGTCAATAAAGTATAGAACACTTTAGATCTGGCCCATGATGGAATCCAAAGAGAAAGAGAAGAGCAGGGACATCCGTACATAAAGAATAAATGGAACATCCACATTGTGTGTGGTCCCAACTAGGCCATATCCTTCATGATGCTACCAGAAATCGAATAATTAAGAAGGTAGACTTTCTGTGCTTCTAGAAAGGAGGGAATTTAAAGGAGGAAATTAGTAACCCAATAGAGGACAGAGCTGAGAAGCTAACAGGCTCTAGTCAGTCAGAGGTTAGCAGCAGGAGGAAGCCATTTCTGCCTGAGGTAGAGTGATGAGAAGAAGGTATAGCATGATCCCAATGCAGGAATAGAGCCATGTAGAAGCTAGAACCACTGTGTGTCTGGAGCCAAGGAGCAGACATAGGTGCTTCCAAAGGCCCTGCCTGAGGCAGAAAATTAGAAATGGGAGGGAAAACACCTCTCTTATTCCCACTTTTTCCCCTTTAGACTCCTTGTGAACCGAAGAGTTCAACCCCTCAGAGATACAGGGATGGAGAAGGGAGCATACAGGGAAAACCTGCGCCCTGGAGCATAGTAGTAGAAGGACAAGGAGTGGAGCCCAAGCAAATGGGCCCTGGCTCTGAAGCTCTCATGCCACAAGCATGAGAACCTCCTGGCCTAATCAAGTTTCACCTCCTATGTCACATGAAACACTGTCACTCCCCATGCCAGTCAATTTTCTGTTACTAAAACAAGTATCTGTGAGATAATCAGCTTACAGAGAAGAGGTTTATTTTTGGCTCACAACTTGGAAGGCTCCAATCCATGACTCCCGTGGCTGTGTTGCTTTGCCAGATTTGTTGTAGTTGGCATGAGTGGCTGGCTTCGTGGCAAGCTAGTACACTGTGGCTGGAATGTGTGTTCCCTTCTCCCCTAAAAAGAGAAAAGACCAGAGAGAGGAAGGAGAAAAGACCAGGTCCTCTCATCCCTTTCTAGAACATACCTCCAGTGGCTTAGAGACCTTCTGCTTGGCCCTCTTAAAGGTGCTGCCGAGGACCAAGGTTTAAACATGTGAGAGACGCTGGGGCCCACACTGTAGTAGTGACCTCCACCTACTCCTCAGGTCCAACTAGTTCGCTCCTTTTCCTCCAAAACACATACCAGTGCAAAACACCTTTTTCTTTGCCTATCCTCTAAGCGTTCTACAGGCCCATCAGCCTCAGAGCCCCTGAGCACAGCAAGCATCCACCTAATATTGAAATGTGATGTGCTTTCTCTATTTATTGTTTTATGGCAAAAACAAAATTTCAGGGAGAGACAGAAAAAGGGGTAGCAGGAGAAGGAGGAGGAAAAGGGCCTTTTGGTCTCATTCCATTAGGGAAAGATTTTGGAAAGGCTGTATTTGTATGTAATTAGGACTTCCACAACCAAATTTCTTACTAATTTTTCCTCCAGGGGGATTTTCTGATGAGATTGTCCTGCAAAGGGACTCTCTCATAATGGGATTAGCAGAGCAAGATGCTCTCCCGATACGCGGTGCTGTTAAGCAGCCATTTTAGAAGAAAACACAACCCGGGGCTGGCGGGGACACAGCTGGTACAACAAAAAACAAACAACCTGGGGGAGCAGGGTTACACTACTGCCTCGGCAGCAGCAAAGTGGTGGTCTGGCATGCTGGAGCACCCCAGTCAGGAGCCCGAAGAAAGAGATCCCGTGCGGATGCACGCTGTTGGCCTCTGTTCCCAGCACTGTCACAGGACATCCTGCCCTCAGTGATACCCTGTGGTCCTGGTCGTGGTCCCCGGGGAGCAGGAGCCAGCGTGCAAGTGGGAGCCGGCATGTTTCCCCCTCCTGCACGTAAGCTTCACGCCCTGCATGGTGCATGGCAGGCAGGCAGGCAGACAGACAACAGGCTCCTGCCTGCTGACTGAGGCCGCGTCCGCCAGCAGGCTGCATTTCCCACCTAGCTCCAGCCCACACCCCACAGAAATCCCTCGTGGAGGCAAGAGAAAAGGGAGTTGGCTAGAAATAGCTCAAAATCTGAAGCCCAAGCAGTCCTCTCAACAATGACTGCCCAGCGCCAGGCAGGAGATTGGACTGTCTCCAAGTGCAAGAAATAAAAAGGAACAATAAAACCAGCTCAAACTGGACGTCCAAACGCTGTGGCTTTTGCATCTGAGGAATCAACCAGTGGTAGATTCAAAAGGTTCAAAAATTTCCAGAAATTACCAAAAACCAAAACTTGGAATATCCGACCGACCCCAGGCCCTGCGAGTGTTGGGGAGAGCTTCTGCTCTGTCCTGCGCCCGCCCGCAGCTCCAAGCCCAGGCCTGCTGTGTAAGAGGCCTTTGCTCTTGTTATCAGGACCTCCCCCGCCTGGCCAAACCCAGCACAGTCCACCATCTGAGTAAGAACTTCTGCCACGCTCTTGGGAGTCCTGCAGACCCACCAAAACACAACACTGGTGAGTGTGTGGGGGAGCTTCTGCGCTCTCTCGCCCCTACTCCTCATACCCCTCCAGACCCAGCCCAGACCTAGCATTCAGGCTTGAGGTAAAACCCTGTAGCTAAAGTCCCTGCAGTGAGACTAGGGTTAAAACCATACAGCTAATCCAGGAACAGATCATCTTACCAGAGGTGTACAGCAGGCCCACCTCCAACGTAAGGAGTAACAACAGTAAGGAACTGGGCACAGTAGCCTAACCCAAGCCAGGCACAACTGCATGAACTAGAACTTGGTATATCAGTACCTGAATTACATTAAGTGATAACATAATTGCACCAAAGCTCTACATCAAAGGCCAGAGGTCAGTGTTAAACAAAATGATAAAGACAAGGAGTAAAATGCAATCTCAGGCCTCAAGTGCAGAGGATACTAGCTCAGCTGAAATAAATGAATCAATAGCATCAGAAGTAAATAAACAACAGCAGAAAGATATAGAGGAACTCAGAGTAGAATTAATTTCTTGAATAAAAAAAAAACTCTGAATTTATAGCAGCTGAACTTAAGAATCAAATGCAGAAATATATGGAGGAAACACAATGCCCAACCAGAAAAAGTGCATTGGACACTAGCTTAGCTGAAATACATGAATTAATAGCATCAAAAGTAAATAAGCAACTGTGGAAAGGTTTAAAGGAACTCAAAGCAGAATTAGTGTCTGAAATGAAAAAAGAAATCTCTAAATTCATAGCACCTGAACTAAAGAATCAAATACAGAAACATAAAGAGGAAACCCAATCTGTAAAAAACTCTGCAGTAGAAGAACTAATAACTGCTTCTAAAGAAGACATTGATTAAAAAAAATACAGATTTAAAAAATGATGGATTCTTGAATGAGCAATACAGGAAAGAAATAGATCACGTGAAGCAGAGTCAAAGAGATGTACAGGACCTTAAAATCTCAATTACTAGCCTGAAAAACCATTTGAGCGAAAGTGAAGATAGAGTTTCAGATTTGAAGATGCTGGTACAGCTAGTGAAAAGGTAAGAAAGAACCTCTTAAAAACAACTAGGATGGTCGATGGCTGGAGGCATCTGAGGGGCAGACCGCGGCGGCGGGCGTGGGCAGCGAGGGCAGCGGGCCAGGACGGAGTACCGCCTCGCAGACCAGACACCTCGCCGGCTCTGCTCGCCGACCGCAAGCATAGCAACCTACCGGCGGCAGGGAGGAGGCGCAGGGCGAGATTCAGGATTCTCTGTGATGGTGGCAAGAGTACTAGGACCTAAGGATGAGCGAACTTGACCAGTTATGGCAGGAAGCTGAGTAGCTCAAGAACCAAATCAGGGATGCTCGGAAACCATGTGCAGATGCAGCTCTCTCACAGATCACAAACAACATCAACCCAGTGGGAAGAATCCAGATGCGCACCAGGAGGACTTTGAGGGGGCACCTGGCCAAGATCTATGCCATGCACTGGGGCACAGCCTCACAGCTCCTGGTTAGCGCTTCGCAGGATGGAAAATTAATCATCTGGGACAGCTATACCACAAACAAGGTCCATGCCATCCCCCTGCGCTCCTCCTGGGTCATGACCTGTGCTTATGCCCCCTCTGGAAACTACGTAGCCTGTGGTGGCCTGGACAACATTTGCTCTATCTACAATCTGAAGACTCACAAAGGGAACGTGCATGTGAGCCGGGAGCTGGCGGGACACGCAGGCTACCTGTCCTGCTGCCGATTCCTGGACCACAATCAGATCGTCACCAGCTTTAGAGACACCACATGTGCACTGTGGGACATTGAGACTGGCCAGCAGACAACCACGTTTACTAGACACACTGGGGACATCATGAGCCTGTCTCTGGCTCCCGACACCAGACTATTTGTCTCCAGTGCTTGTGACGCCTCAGCCAAGCTCTGGGATGTCTGAGAAGGCATGTGCCGGCAGACCTTCACTGGCCATGAGTCCGATATCAACGCCATCTGTTTCTTTCCAAATGGCAATGCATTTGCCACCGGCTCAGATGACACTACTTGCAGGCTCTTTGACCTCCGTGAAGACCAGGAACTCATGACCTATTCCCACGACAACATCATATGCGGGATCACCTCTGTCTCTTTCTCCAAGAGCGGGCGCCTCCTCCTCACTGGTTATGATGACTTCAACTACAATGTGTGGGATGCCCTCAAAGCTGACAGGGCAGATGTCTTGGCTGGACATGACAACCGCGTCAGCTGCCTGGGGGTGACTGATGATGGCATGGCTGTGGCAACAGGGTCCTGGGACATCTTCCTCAAGATCTGGAATTAACATCACCACAGGCGGACGCCACCATGACAGGAAGACCATTCCAACCTTGAAGCGCTATGGAGAGCATATCCTATCTGCCCATACTAACGTGGACACCCACACTCCCCTCAGAACTTCAAAGGGCAAGATCTTTTCTTCTTCACTTATTGCTGAAACCAAGAGCACAATTCCCATTAAGAGAAGGATCTCTGTGCTGTAAACTAAAACAAATTGTGCATTCCTTCCGGGGCCATTGTCTTTCTTTTCTTTTTTGTCTTGGGTGAATTTTAAAAGGAAATACTACAATAAAAATGTTAACCAGAAAGTTAAAAAAAAAAAAAAACTAGGATGCAGGAAAAAATAATTCATAACCTGCAAGACAATGCAAAGATGAACAATGTGAGACTAATAGGCATCAATGAGAATGAAGGAGTCAATACAAATGATATAAAAAGATTATGGGCAGAAGTAATAGCAGAAAACTTCCCAAATATGAGGAAACAATCTGATACTCATGTAACTGAAGCATACAGAACTCCAAATAACTTCAACCCAATCAAAAACACACGAAGACATATAATACTCAAGATCCCAGAAATCCAACACAAGAATATCACACTGAAAGCTGCTAGAGATCACCCCAGAAAGACTGGCTATCATAAAGCAATCACCCAACAACAAATGTTGGAGAGGCTGTGGGGAAAAAGGAACCCTTCTTCACTGCTGGTGGGAATGTAGACTGGTACAACCATTATGGAAATCAGTATGGAGACTCCTTAGAAAATTTGGACGGGAAATCCCATTGCAA